GATCAGCCCGAGCCTGAAGTCCATATTACCTTGGGATATTTCAGTTATATGATCCAAGCAATTTTATTGTTTAAGCCAGTTTCCTTTGGATTTTCTTTTACACAAATAAAGGCATTGTGACACACATATTTTTATCTCATTCACTCTGTACAAGCAGCTTACCTGAGGGTAAGTCTATTATTCCCTTGGCCTAGATGAGAAAATGGAATCCAGTGCTGAAAGGTCCTCTGGCCAGGAGCAGGATAGGTCGTATTGGATGATGGTGGTGTGTACCAGTGAGACAGAACAGCTTCTCCGCAGCCACAAACTAGTGATACTTTCTGAGCGGAGGGGCTTGAATCTGGTGATGTATCTATGTTATTGGTTCATTAGAATAAATGGGCAAATATGGTATATTTAGCAGCTTTGGACATGTTGAAATTCTGCTAAATGGCTCTATGTAAAAAATATGGGCATCTCTTAATAGGATGTATATTTGGAAAATATAATACTTTTAAATTTGTTTCAAAATGTAGTAGAAATGCTTCTTCCATTTTACCAGTTTATTTGAGATAGTAAACTGGGAAAAGTAGGATTACATTTATTTCATTCATTGAAAAAAAGAAATGTATTATCTGTCTGCAATCACCCTTTTTATTCTTCCAGTGTGTTTAGTAGGTTTAAGGGCATTTTTGTTCTTTTTCTTTCTACTTCTTGTTCTCATAATACTCTCCTAGGCTAAAATTCAGAATATGCAGTTAGTAATTTAAAGATGTGAGGATTCAAAAAAGAAAGACAGAAATAAGTATTGATTTTAGGAAAAGTATATTACTTATTACATGTGGCTTTCCTGTTTAAAAAACTATTCTGTTATAACTGTCTATAATAAATGCATATGCATATATTCATTGGTAGGATGAATTTTATGAAAACATTGTAACATTTTTTTTACCACTGCTTTCCATATGCTTTTATGGTCAAATATAAACTACCTTTAACTGTAGTGATTATGTTTTGATAAATTACCAGAAGGAATTTCTTATTAATATAGGAAACAGTGGAGAAGATGAAGACTCCTGAGGGGCCCTGGGTGAAAGTAGCCTTTTCAGAGACCTCCATGGTCATCAGCAGAAACACATTTTAATGCTAAATGCATATTTAAGTGTTTGGCCTCATGAAATGTGTAACCCAATTGCATAGGCGTTATCTGTGTTAACCATCATGAGTTCTTTCCTTTGAATTGTGTCCTTGATTTTTGCCTACAACTGACGGGCCACTAGTTGTCCCAGAATTCAGAAATTCTCATTAATTTCCTGCCCCACTTCCTGCCACCATGGTCTATGTTGGTGGGATTGTCTTCTTATTCAGGGGAAAGGAGCGGAAGGCCATTTGCATTTACCTTCCATGATATGGCCAGGCTGCTCTGGAGTGAAAAGAATAATTTATGACTTGCTGTTTATACATTTATCAAATGATGTCCCTTATGCTGCAGTTGATGCCACGCATGCTTACGTAACCATTTCAGAACATCTTTCTCTCGTGCCATTTACCATGAAGCGTTGCTGTTTCTAGCAAGCTATTTGGTCATAAAAGATCTCATGTTGAACAAAATAGCAAGAGATCTAATGAGGAGATAGGAGTAGAGAAAAAAATCAGAATGAGAAAACGAGTAGGAATGATTAGAAAAATATGTAAAAGAGAACAAGAATAAGTACTAGGAAGCTAATAAGTACAGAAGATGTTTTCCAGTTGCCTGAGTGTTCCAGTTTATAAATTTCCCATTTTTGAATAACTACAGATTAATAAAATATACTTGACACTAAAATGTTTCTAAATAAAATTAAACTTTTGAGCCGGGTAGGGTGGCTCATATCTGTAATCCCAGCACTTTGGGAGGCCAAGGCGGGCAGATCACCTGAGATCAGGAGTTTGAGACCAGCCTCACAAACATGGAGAAACCCCACCTCTACTAAAAATAAAAAATTAGCCAGGCGTGGTGGTGTGCACCTGTAATCCCAGCTACTTGGGAGGCTGAGGCAGGAGAATTGCTTGAACCCGGGAGGTGGAGGTTGCAGTGAACCGAGATTGTAACCATTGCACTCTAGCCTGGGCAACAAGAGCAAAACTCTGTCTCAAAATAAATAAATAAATAAACTTTTGATAATTCAGTATACCAGTGTCTCAGTGCTCCTGAGTCATTGATATAAATACCAAACATTGCAGTACACCACAGCAACTATAACAATATTAACCATAGAAAAATAATGAGAATCATCCAGTCACACCCCAGACAGCCCAACAGATCCTTCTGTAATAAGCCCGAAAGTAGATCTAAATCAAGGTTCTGCCATTTATCTCATACCCGGAACCCAGTTTTTTAAACATCTTATTCAGAAAGAGCCACTCTTTGGGGGCACCTGCTTTGTCTCTGTAGTACCTTGCACTCCATGGAACTTAGGGTCCTCTTGAACCCCGGTTTGAAAACCAGGAGTCTAGAGTCTGTGCAGACGTTTATCCAGGAGGAGGAAGTGAGTCACAACTTCCTTACTTGGCTCTCCCTGTATTTCCATCCCTTAGTCCTAGAGTGAAGTAAACAGAACCCACTGCTGTTTCTCCGGCTTGATAATTTTCCCAACCACAGTGGAGATGGGGTTGAAGTGGGGCTGAGCCTATGACATTCAGGAAAGTTCCCTTCAGAGTCAATCCCCACTCTTAAGTTGTTTATTCATTGATTTCTTTTATAAATATTCTACATGAAAAAGATAACCTTAGCTTGCTGGTTGTTTGGATTTGTGAATAAACATGACTTTGGGCCTAAATAGAAAAAACTGAACAAACATCTAAAGAATATCTCACTATCCACCATGAGCCAGTGCTGGAGCCCTAAAAAGGTTGAGAAAATCTTTCCTCGAAGCAGAATAGAAATAGAAACCGTGTGAGGGACCATACTGTAAGCCTCATAGGAAAAAAGCCATGAGGCACTTGAGCTGAATGTTGCCTGCGTCTGAATGGTACCCAGGGAGAAATGCTTTAAATGCCTTTATGATTTAAACAGTAATCAAAGTGTTATGCTTTCCCTGAGACTCTAAACTTACTCCTGATTTTGTCTTCCTCTCGGAGGTAAATAATCGTGACTTCATTAACTAGAAATTCTTAAATGGGAATTTTATTTTTTCATGCGCCAATGGATTGTTGTCAGATTAGATGTAAGAATTTTGAGTCAAACATTTTTAATTTTTGTCGCACCAAATTGGATTGAATTCACTGGATATAGAGATATTGGTTACCACCCTACAAATAAGATTATCCAACTTCTAGCCTGTTTTATACAGCGGCTAAGAGAAGCATTGTCTACCCCTATGGGGACTCCATCTCAAAATATGCTGTATTGTTTGCATTCTAAATTTTCTTTTGTTGCCAGGAAGCAAATATCCTGAGGAAATTGCTTATCATATACTAAGCCATTGCCTCCTGGGAGTCTTTGTGAAAAATTCTCAATCGTTCCTGAGTATGGACTCAGAATGAAAGCTAGATGTGTGGAAGAAGGCACTCCCCTCCATTCTTCAAGGTGTGCTATAGTAAAAGGCACCAAGACGGTCTCTCACTCTCTTTCTCTTTCTCTTTTTTTTTTCTGAGACAAGGTTTTGCCTTCTCGCTCCAGCTGGAGTGCCGGGGCACGATCATGGCTCCCTGCTGCTTCCACCTCCTGGCTTAGGCGATCCTCCTGCCTCAGCCTCCTGAGTAGCTGGGACAACAGGCACACGCCACCACACTGGGCTAAAGGAAAGTCCCTTCTTAAGAACTATCTTAGTATTTGTTTTGCTCCAAATTGCCCTGAATGTTGTAACATTTTTTTGTTTTTATTTCTGTGTATAGCTTTGAGATCTAATTCACATACCGAACAGTTCACCCATTTGAAGTGCACAGTTCCTTGTTTCTAGCATATTCGCAAGGTTCTGCAACAGTTACTACATCTAGAATGTTTTCATCACTTCAGAACAGAACCGTGTCCCCCTCTTCCCCTCCACGACCCCCCGCAGCCCTACATCCATTTTCTGTCTCCATAGAGTTGCCTATTCTGAGTATTTCATATACATGGAATCATACAGTGTGAGGTTTTGTGGCTGGTTTCTTTCACTTAGCCTCATGTTTTCAAGGCTCATTCATGTTGTAGCTGATATTTCTCTCTATTGCCAAGTAATATTCCACTGCATGGATATACTGCATTTTATTTATCCATTACTAAGTTGATAGACATTTCAGTTGTTCCCACTTTTTGGCTATTGTGACTAATGGTGCCATGAACATTTTTGTATAGGTTTTGATGTGGACATATGTTTTTATTTCTCCTGGGTTTATACCTAGGAGTGGAATTGCTGGGTCATATGGCAACTCTATGTTTGAGCTTTTGAGGAGCTTCTAGACCATTTTCTAAAGTGATTGCAACATTGTACACTCCCACCAGCAGCAATAGAGCGATGCTTTTTTTTTTTTTTTTTGAGAAATAGTTTCCCTCTTGTTACCCAGGCTGGAGTGCAATGGTGCGATCTCAGCTCACCGCAACCTCTGCCTCCCGGGTTCAAGCGATTCTCCTGCCTGAGTCTCCCTAGAAGCTAGGATTACAGGCAGATGTCATGACACCCAGCTACTTTTTGTATTTTTAGTAGAGATGGGGTGTCATCATGTTGATCAAGGCTGGTTTTGAATTCCTAACCACAGGTGATCCACCCGCCTCCACCTCTCAAAGTGCTGGGATTACAGGCATGAGCCACTGTGCCTGGCTGGGATCCCTTTTTTCCCCAACACTTGTTATTGTTTACCTTTTGAATGCAGCTATCCTGGTGGGTATGAAGTGGTGCCACCTTGTGGTTTTGATTTGCATTTCTCTGATGACAAATGATGTTGAGCATCTTTTCATGTTTTTATTGGCTGTATATCTTTGGAAAAATGTCTAATCATGTCCCTAGCCCATTTTTTAAAATGGGGCAATTTATCTTTTTATTGTTGAGTTAGAAGAATTATTTATATATTCTAGATACTAGTTCCTTCTCAGGCATATTATTTGCAAATACTTTTCCCCATTGTGGGTTGTCTTTTCATTTTCTTGATGGTATTGCTTATAGCAGAAATGCCATAACTTCTGTGTTATCCATATCATTCCACTGTAATTTGCAGTCACTTTGAAGTGCCTACACAAACCTGCTTAGATGCTCAAATTTTCAGCAGGGAGTTGTATTCAGGATATGTTTGTTCAGAATTAAATTCACTATACCAGGTCCTTTTTGCTTTTGTTTTTCTTGTGTAATCGAGCAAGGAAGGCAAGGGGTCTCTTCAGCTTTGGTTATTTCATGGTGTACAGGTGAGCGTGTTTCCAAGGAAATCATTTTACCTCTCTAGCAAGCACTCTGATCTTGTGGGTCTAAAAAGAAATGGAGTCCAGCTGGCTGAACTCTGGTCTATTTAAATAGTCTTATATAGTGTGCACCATTTTATTTTCGTAAGGGCAGTAGTTGGAACTGCATCCTCAGGCTGTAGCTATAATAAAAGTGTCAAGGAGTGTAATGTGTGCAGCCCCTCAATCCTACCATGGGCGGCGTTGTGCTGCCTTTGTCCTCTTGTAGACACTCATCAAGGTGCTTTGCTGGCAGAAGGAAATCGGGCCCCAAGGCCGGTGATCTGATAACAGGTGCTGATTTAGTGCCTTAGACTAAATTACATTAACCTGCAAAGTAAAAAGCTCTCTATTTTGGTCGCAGCCCCCCTGGGCAGCGTAATGCCTTTATATCTCAACCATTGCTCATGTGTTTTCATTTCAGGTCTTATCACCACAGAAAACAATCTTTTGGTTTTCTCTTTTCCATAAAATTTGTGTGCTGTTTTTGTTTTGATGCCACCTTTGAAAGATCTCAGTTGAATGCATGAAGGGAAGTGTGCGTATGCATTTCTATTTAAAATGCTGCCTCACATGGCCCTTTCACATTAAATCATACTCTACACATTAATTTCTTGCTCTAATATCACATCACATTTCACATGCCAATCATATTCTACGTGCTAATTTTTGGTTCTAATGTCACATGGCATTTTAGGAGCCTAGATAGGAAGCATGATGTTTTAAAACTTAAATAGGAACGTCTACTAGAGACTTATAGATATCAATCCCAATAATTTAATTGGATTAAGTCTTAATAAGCACATTTAATCATCAAACAGAACATTCACACCCTTGTATTCAGTCTCATTTGTCTTTCAGGCTATGTGACCACCCAAAGGTTGCCTTTTAAGGAGCTTGTAATCTAATTAAGGAGATAGAGACATTGTCTTGAAATTATTGTAAATGCTCTAAGACTGGATATCACGAGCATGTTGTAGATTTCAAACACAATATGGCTGTAGAGGGGAGGAAGGTCATTCATAAAACGAACACGGATCTACTGGCAACACCCAGGCCCCTTGAGGGCCACGGCCCCTGTGCAGATGACTTGGTTGCAGGTTGCAGCAGCTCCCACCAGAATCCGGTTGGAGGTGGCTCTAGGAGACGCAGGAGGGGTTCAGACCTTGACTGCAGGAATGGAAGGATATTCCAGTGAAGAGCGCCACGTGGCAGTGAGGGGAGGGGGAGGGGCCTAGGGGCCAGCTGTGGGAGAGCCTGTGGCACTGGCCTGCAGAGCCTGGCAGATTGCATTGGATGGGAAGGGCTCGTAGTCTCCTTCTTCTTCCCCTCCATTAGTGTGGATCGTTGTTTTGCTGTGGAAATATGAGGGTTTGATAACAGTTTGCTGCTCCAAATGTCAGACGCCCCATGTTCTCAGCACTGTCCATATTTATGTTGAATCCTCACAGCGAGCCCATGACGGAAGGACTTTTAGAAATCTGACTTGCAGGTAAGGCCTGAGGCACGGAGTATGAGGTGGCTGGACGCCGCCTCCCCAAGCTGTGGATGACCTTGCCCGGGAACCTCCCTTACGGTCCCCAGTGAACCTAGCTCCGGCAACTTCATCTACCCCAGTTACGGGGAAACATGAACTACGCTGGCCATTATGAAATACGGATTTTATGTCTTTATTAATTTCTGAATTTTTCTTTTTTTTTTTTGAGTTTTCCACATGCTCATTCCAAACCCCCAAATAGATCACATAAGCAAGCCTTTTGGGGGAAAAGTTTTAAAAAGAAAGTAAGATGTTCCTCATTTTTTATTAGCGAGCTGTTATGTTTCAATTCAAGTAAACCCTGAAACCTCCAAACACTGATGTGAAAAGACTTATTTCCTAGATCCCTTGCCCCATCCCCCCTCCACACAGCTGCCCACAGGGGAATGTGTTGGTACAGATGTAATTTACATAGTGTTGTCACAGTTAAAAACGTTCCACTGGAAGAGTCACCTCCTCTGGAGCTTTTCCACAGAGGGTTAATCGGGATGGAGCTCTTCTTAATTTTACTATCACTTCTTTCCATTTTTAAACACTTTGACGTGGACTTTATTCTGGTTTCATAGTCCCGTCCTTTGACTTCTAGGAGGGCACATCAGGGTGAGTTGGAGAAGTTCTTAGCTGTAATCTCACCCCTTCCAACATGTCAGCTTTGCGACGATCCGTTTCTGCCTGAAATGACCTGCACTGCCCGTTTGGCAGGTGTTGAAGGGTCTTTGGCTCCCCCGACCCCCCTGACTTGATACTGCAAACAACGGTATGGGGACATTTACTCGACATACCCGGGCCACAGCCATTCCCCGGCCTCCCTCCCACAACCTTGCAATATTCAGGATCCTTCCTATGCCTGTGAGTTTGTCTAACCTGAGCCTTAGATTGCCCAGCATGTGCCAGCCACGTTCACGGTGCCCTCCCAATGACAGGTGTGGTCCAGATGGAAGCATCTCCCGTCAAGTTCTCTCCCAGAACTCCCTCGGCAACCTGCACTTCCACACCCAAGCCCTTTACCCAGGCACCCTCCACTCCAGCAAGTGACTGGTCGGTAATTGCCCCCATGCGAATCCCATTTATGAGGGCAAAGGAAGCCTTTCAATCCCATGTGCCACACCACATCCCATGTGGCTGGTGGATGCTGGGCTGGAGGAAGTCACTACCTGGCCTCCCAGAGCCCTTCCCCACCCCGCACACTCTGAGGCTGCACTGAGTTTCTGGTTTAATTATGCTAAGGAGCGTGATCTTTTTTGGAAGTGCTATGGCCCGCACAAGCCGAGAGCAGATGCAGTGATCTCAGCGAAGCTTCCCTGTCCCTTAGAAACCATAACATGCATCACGCAGAGGCCGTAGACAGGGAGGCAGCAGAGGGAAGGCTCTTTCTGAATCTGTGATGTTTGGTTCTTGATATCCCGGCCAGATCCCTTTTAGACCAAGGTCATGTCAGAACTTGACACTGAACACGTGGATTTAAGTGAATGTTTACATTTCCAAATGTTGAGGTCTCTTCGTCTTTGAACGAACTCATCCAGAAAGTGAAAGCAGAATGGGCTTCTAGGGGCCCCTGGCCAACACCTCTCTCTCTCCGGATTTTCACTGTGGCTAGCTCATTGGCCTGCAGAAAACTTCCTCAACTCAGTGAACAGAAATGTTGACTTGAGCCCTTTTCAAGTTTTTCTTATGAAATATTTTAGACATTTTTAGGAATGAAAATACCGTTAAGTAACACCTATGCATCCATAAATTCAGCTTAAGAAATGAAGAAGTTATTGACACAGTTGAACACCATTTATGGCTCCCCCCTCATCCTCCTTCCTCCCACTCCGAGGCTACCATTGCCTTGGATTTGATGACTACCACTTCTGTTTATTTCTTCCTGTTTTATTGTGCGTATCCTAAACACTGTATTGTTTTTTGCAGTTTACATGTCATATAAATTGAGTCACCTCGTGTGTACACTAATGCACCTTGTTCCATGTTGTGTTCATGAGCTGTATCCAGGCTGACGGCTAGGGCTTGGTTCCTATGTTTGCTCTGTGTGGCATTTCATCTGACTGTGCCGGCCCTCCTCTGTCAGTTGCCCTTTGGCTGGATGCTTGCTCCTTCTGGTGTTGCTGAGAGCAGTGCTTCTGTGAACCATCTTGTGCATCCGTCCTGTGAGCACAGTAGGGGCAGGTGTTGCAGGGAGGTTCTCTAGGGTATATATATGCCTGGGAGTGAGATTGCTGGATCATGGAGCACACGACCTTCAACTCTAGTAAATATTCTCTTCCAAAGTAGTCATATAAGATGCATTCCCAGCAGCAGTAGATGTGAGTGCTCATCCTCTCCCTCCTTACTGTTGGCAGCGCTTCCGGCATTGAGCCGCTGCCCACCTGCTGTGTGTGAGATGGTGTCCCACTGAGGCTAGACCACTCACTGCCTGACGACCAGCGTGGTCAGACTCCCTTTGCATGTCAGGGGTGTTTGTAATTTCTCTTTGAGTTCCCCATCTATACAGTGTTCCTATTCTCCTTTTCTCTGTCTCTTTTAGTTAATTGATAAGAGTTCTTTACATATTCTGTGTAATAACTCTTCATCAGTTACGTGCATTGTAAATGCCATCAAGTTTGTGGCCAATCTTTTTAACTTTTTTATACAGAAGTTTTAAATTTGTATGTAGCTGAATTGATTCATCCTTTTCTGTACATTACATGCCTTCTGTGTCTTAATTAAGAAGTCTGTCCTCACTCTGAAGTCATAAAAATCTGTTATTATCTAGAATTTTCAAAGTTTTATTTTTAACACTTTGGTCTTTAATGACTTGCATTCTTTGTACAGTCTAAAGAATGGAACTGGTTTTGTTTTCTGCTTTTTCAATAAGATAACCAATTTCGTGAGTGCCCTGTATTGTATTGTTTATTCTTTCCCCATTTACCAGCAAGGCCACCGCGGAACTTTCACGATTCCCTATGGGGACGGAGTCTATTTCTGGCTCTATGCTATTTCATTTGTCTAACCTGTGTCAAAACCACACTGTCCCATTAACCATAAGTTTAAAATAAGTTTTGATAGCTATACAGCAAGACTCTCCTACCTTTATCTTGTTGGGTTTTTTTTTTCCTCAATATTATTATAGCTCTACTTGGTTTTTTATGCTCCCAGTAGCTTTTGGAGACAACTTGTGATTGATACAACTCTTTAATCTAACTAGATTAACTTAACTTTCAAATTAAATAAGGTGTTTTATGTAGAAGCGCTTCGTAACCAATGGACTGCTGTGGAGATTTAAGCTGTCTGTATTTGCATCATGAAAATGTGATTTATTTGGATTTGAGAGCATTTTGTGTATTGTATGTATCTGCTAGTATATAATTTGCTTGCAAGTAGAGAAATGTAGCTTGATTTTTATCATTTTCTCTCTGTAATGTAATGTGGCCTGTGCATACCCAAGAAATATTATCTGAATGGAATCATCAGTCAGGATCCCAGATAGACCATGTAGTTAATTGTTTTTTCTTTTTCTTCTTTTTTAATACTTGTAATTCTTCCTTCATCTATCACCATCTTTCTGAGCTGAGTGTAAGAGATTTTGTTTGTTTGTTTAAGAAATATTGGATATGCAGCATATTTTAATAAATTGCTCCCTGCCTACAGGCAAAAGCAAGATGAATTTCAATAGGGAAAATATAATAAGAATGACTTTGAGTTTAAAATTTAATTTCCTACTGATTTTGATAAGACCAATTTCAGAATGCTTGCATATTCCATTTGTCATTTCTATTCACTTTGTGCAAGGAGCTTCTTTCACTGATGTCTACACATCTGAAATTTCACTTTACTTTAAATATGCAACATGCAACTATATTATTTAGTCCTGAAAATAGGGCAAGTATAGCAACTTGTATGTTAAAAGAATTATCCTTTTCTTCTCATAATTTTTTATGCAACCAGTCTTTAGATATGGTACTCTGGTAGGTTCTTATTCAGAGATTAATCAGGCACACTTCCTGCACTAAAGGATCTCAAAACCCATCTGGAGTCCCAAGACAGTGTGTCGAACAGGAAAGCCAGGTGAATTCGGATAGGAAGAAAATCACATCTGATGGCGGTGACTCATTCATTTATCTTCATGGAGCAAGCCTTGATGAGTTGCTATAAGGCGCCAGGCATTGCCTGGCTAAGCATCTGAGAGACTAAGACAGATATTGTCTGTGCTCTTGGAGCCCACGGTCCACTTGGGAAGCCAGATGTTAAACAGTAGCCTTAGCTGGGCACGGTGGTTCATGCCTGTCATCCCAGCACTTTGGGAGGCTGAGGCAGGAAGATCATATGAGCTCCTGAGACTGGTCTGGGAAACATAGTGAGACCGTGTCTGCACCAAAACCAAAAATAAATTAGCGGGGCGTGGTGGTGCACCTGTAAGTCTCAGCTACTTGGGAGGCTGAAGACAGGAGGATGGTTTGGGCCCAAGAGTTCGAGGCTGCAGTGAGCTATGATGGCACCACTGCACTCCAGCCTCACCTATGGAGTAAGACTCTGTCTCAAAACAAAAACAAAAAACCCCAGCACCCTCACCAGCATGCAGAGGAGGAGGCTGGGTGTTCATTGCACTCATGATGGAAGGAGCTACTCTGAGGAGGAGGTCAGGCAGGGCTCAGGGAGGAGGTGGCTTTTGCTCTAGGCCTTGAGAGTGGCACATAGAGGGTGGAGATGGCATGGGAAGGAGGCCTGCCCTGGGCAGACGTACACCGAAGCCTGCATCGTTTCCCGCAGCACGTCCGCGATCCTCACATTACTGAGCGCGTATTGGGCTAACACTGCTTGCTCATCGGGCCCCTCCCCCGGCAGCTTATTTGCTTTTTGTTTAATAGAGTAAGACATTACATGTACTCTCTTATTTTGTTCTTAAATTCCTACGTGCAGTTGGTTGGTGTTCTTAGAGATGTGTGTCCCGCCATCCTGCAAGTGTTGTGCTGTCTTCCCAGTGTCCCGAAGCTTCCTGCTTCCCCTGGCGCTGAGAAGGCTGAATGGTGGAGGCGGGAGGGCGCCCTTGGAACCGCCCTCCTGGTTGACGTGGAGTGATTAATGACTTCCCTTTGGTTGAGGCAGCTATTAATCTGCCAGTCATCATTTGTTCATTTTATTTGTTGTACATAATGAGAAAACCTTGTTAAATTCTTCCTGAAAACCAGAGACACTGTTTACCGTTTCCCCACATCTACCCATCTGGTACCCTCATCAGAGGAGAGAAGGAAATCAGCATAGATTTCATAAAACTCTCCTGATGACTGCTGATGGCCGCTTCCTCGCTGAGAGGCTGTCAAGCTAATTTCCAGTCTCCCTGTCTGTAGTTTGCAGAATTTACCTTTCTAAAAACCTCTACCTACTCTCAGTCCTTGATACCGATCCAGTGCTGCTTCAGACATCCCTGAGAGTGGGTGTTTACATATGACATGCACCAGGTGACCGCAGCTCTGGAATCTTAAGTTATTTCTTAGGATGAAATTTATCCTGGAGATTTTAATCACCAAAACTGAGACACTAGTTTTAAACCTAGACAAGCAGTGATAACCCCTGAGACATGCTAGGCTGAGCCCTGCCTGGGCATCGGGCACCTCACCATTTCAGCCCCACCTGGGGGACCACCGGAGAGTGAACTGTGTCTGATGGGCATGAGCTGAGTCCTGGTCAGCTGCGGAATACAAGGATGGAGGGAAGACAGAAGCGAGACAGGAAAGAGAGGTGCTGTGTCCTTATACAAAGAAAACCCTTGTTGTTTCCTGGACTGCTACAAAATCTAGAGTTGGGACATCATTTCTCTTCCTGACTCCATTATCTCAAAGAAAACAGGCTTCCTGTTCCTGACACGATGGGAAAGAATGTTGTATAAACAGAGGCGCTTAGAGCCAAAATGCTTAGAGTGTCTACCCACACCAGCCACCCGTGACTCAGTGCTTGATGGAGAGACTCCAGGCTGTTTCGCCAAATGTCTTCAAGTTCAAAGGGTCATCTGATTCCAACCTCTCCATCCAGAATTGGTTTTGAAATGTCATTAGCTCCAAATGTGACTTGTCTTTTTATTCCTTTCTTGTCCCTGCCTATTTACGTGGTAGAGAATCCAGTCTTAATTTTGCAAACCATTTAATTCAGCCTTAAGCCTCTCTCAGCTGTTCCTGTAAGAACATAAACGCCTATAAGAAACTGAAAGCATGGTCTGTCTGCCCCCATTGCCTTTCGTAGGGACTCCTTCCATACCAGGCTTGGGAGGAGAACAAGGCTTTATCCTGAACAGCAGGGTGGGAAAGCATCAAAGGAAATCAGAACGGCTCAACAAATGCTGTCCTATGCTCTGATTCGCTCCCACAATGTCTTCTTTCTTCCCTTGTCCCCCCTCTCTCCTGAGAAGTGTTTTGTTTACTTTCTTTCTGCCTGAGAGGTGAAATAGTAAGGCAAATAACAGCAACAATTACGATCATCAGGAGCCATGTGAAATCAAGCCATGTCTCCGTGCAACTGCAGGTGTGTCTGCGACTGCCCCTGGACCCATTTAGATGGGAACAGAGTAGAACATTTTAATAGAGGAGAAAATACCATTTGTACAAAAGCTCGGTCTGTTGCATGATTGCAGTGATTCCGTCAGGAACTGGGTGATGAAAACCAGCAATAGCATGGTGCCCGGCTGGGGCTGGCACACCAGAGAGCAGAGCCCCGTAAACTAGAGCCTCTCACCACCCGTGGGCTCCAGAAATCCCTTTCTATTCTCTTCTCAACGATGCTGTCGCCCGTTGGATATTTCTTGTCTCTGATGTTTAATAATATGAAATGGTCATTTTGGGGCGACTACTGAAATCCATGAAAAATTCATGAAAATTTAGGATTGCCCACAGTATCTATTAGAGCTGTAACCGTGCCTATTACCAACTCCACAATCATTGCATTGCAGAAAGATCATTTCCAAAATCACTTAAATTTTCTTTTTATGCTAAATGTCTCTATCTGTATACCAATCCTCCTCCTATTTTTTCCCAGAAGAAGAGATGCTCTTCCTCCTTCAGCCAGTTCCTCCTCCACCCTGCAGACCCGTATCCCCACCACCAGCATCCTTTTCCCTAGCTCTGTGTCCTGTGGAGAGGCTCAAGTGGCCCCCATGGCCTGGCTGCCAGGTGTTGGCTTCACATTTGTCTTTTGTCCTTTTTCTCTCCTTTCAGTGACTGCCACCTCCTCAGAGAAGAGCTGTCTCCACCTGCCAAGTCCCTTTCGCCTCGAGAGCTGTGTCCTCTGGGGCCTCACAGGGGCCTCGCCACCAGCTCTGCCCTCTAAAGACTCCATTCTTTCAACTTACCCTGTATAGCCCGTGCGCCCAGTCACCTGTGTCCCTCTCTTGCCTCCCGTAGCGTGCACTATCTTACTTCTTTTTCTTTCTCTCCATCTCACTTTGTCTAGTTTTTGTGGGTGAACACCATGGGCGGTGCTCGGCATCTGTGGCCCCTCCCCATCTCCTTTCTCCATCTGCTCCCATGGCTGTGCCTGACATCGCAGGCACCCGTCACCCAGGCCCTCTCTCTAACTCCCAACTGGTGCATCTGTCCCCCTCACCCCTACGTAGCTTGTCCGTCCTAGGGACAGCTCTGCTGCTTCTGCAGTAAGGAGCTCAGTGGTGGAAACCCCCACCCCACTAACCCCCACCATGCTCACCCCCCACCCCGCTTACCCTCCACCCCGCTTACCCCTCACCCTGCTTACCCCTCACCCCGCTTACCCCCACCCCGCTTACCCCCCACCCCGCTTACCCCCCACCCTGCTTACTCCCCACCCCGCTTACCCCCCACCCCGCTTACCCCCCACCCCACTTAACCCCCACCATGCTCACCCCCCACCCCGCTTACCCTCCACCCCACTTACCCCTCACCCTACTTACCCCTCACCCCGCTTACCCCCCACCCCGCTTACCCCCCACCCTGCTTACTCCCCACCCCGCTTACCCCCCACCCTGCTTGCGTCCTGTATTCAAGCCCAGTGTTTCCCCACAGAGTGTATGAGTCAGAGTTCTCTAGAGGGACAGGACTCATAGGATAGATGTATATGTGGAGGGACTTTATTAGGGAGAACTGACTCACGCGATCACAGGGTAAAGTCCCACTACAGGCCGTGTGCAAGTTGAGGAACAAGGAAGCCAGTGGTGGACCAGTCCAAGTCCCAAACCTCAAAAGTAGGGAAGCAACAGTGCAGCCTTCAGTCTGTGGCCAAAGGCCTGAGAGCCCCTGGCAAACCACCGGTGTCCAATGGCTGAAGAACTTGGAGTCTGATGTTCGAGGGCACGAAGCATCCAGCACAGGAGAAAGATGAAGGCGGGGAGACTCAGCCAGTCTGCGCTTCGTTTTCTCCTGTCTGCTTTATTCTAGCCTCACTGGCAGCTGATTAGATGGTGCCCACCCAGATTGAGGGTGGGTCTGCCTCTCCCAGTTCACTGAGCTGAATGTAAATCTCCTTTGGCAACACCCTCACAGATACACACAGGAACAATAGTTTGCCTCCTTCAATCCAATCCAGTTGACACTCAGTATTAACCATCACATAGAGTGTTACTGACTGTAAACGCAACCTACCTCCTTCCTTGGTCATTGCCTGGACCTTACCTCCCGTCTTCCCCATGGCCTGTGGCCCCTGTCTGAAGAGCGCCCCACCTGCCTAACCTCCTGCACGTCAACTGGTGAGTGCAGTTTCCCTGGCATCACAGTGCGAATCACATGTTTAAACCCCATTGAAAGCCTTTCCCTTTCTATGCCATGAGATACCAATGACACTCCAAGGATTTCTATATCCAAACCTTGCGTTATCTTATTTTCAGCTTTAAAAAACTGGTTGGATACTACTACACTAGGTTCTAAAAGCCATTCCACTTTCAGAGGTCGTGGCCTGTGGCTGGGCTTGGATTTGCTTGCCTGAGGACTGACAGATGCGGGAACCCCGTTCCTTTACGGGCAATACATCGAAGGGAGTTTTCCTCCAAGTTGTATTATGTGCGCCCACCCTTACTCCTTCATACCTTTCTGTCTCCCTTGACTGGTAGATCATGTGAGGACAGAATGTCATCCTTAATATCATTTTACACTTGACTGGATTCTCTCCTTAGAAACATTAAATGTGTTTGTTTGACTCACGTCACTGAGAGGTTGAGAATCCTCAAGGTTACTAATGCATAAAAAT